TTTGGCACTCCAGTCAAGAACAGCCACGTCATGTTGATTTATATAGCGCTTTAAACTAAACATCTTTACAGTGTGAATCATGAAAAAACCGTGTCAGTGTTGCCTTCATTTAGAATCACACTTCTATTCATTACTTCACTTCATTTCTACTATAAATCAGCTATCCAGTGTTTATGTTTTCACTCGCAGATGTCTGACCTCAATGGACTTATCAAAGGAAAAGAACCGGAGAAGACTTCCACATCAAAGTGGGCGGAGCCTCAGAGCGCACCTGCCTATTACACATGGGTTTTGCATTTTCTTTACTTTATATTGTACTCGTTCGTTCGGTTGCCAGAGTCGCACAGGGTCCTCGCACCAGCCGTTCATTATTATGCGGGCCCACGATCACAAGCTCTACCGTATAACCAGAGGTTATAGCTAAATCAATTTAACAATGCTGCCCATGCTTGCTATTGTTAAAAGGTATCCATGTAGCCCCATACAATCGCCTATATAACAACTTAGTTAGCTCAGACAGTAAACAGGGGTTATGATCAGTACCATAAGGTAATATACTAGAACATAAGTATTTTATCTGACCCCATATAGTTAATAGTATAACTATATAACAACTTATTTAAAGCAGAGGCAATGACCAGAGGTTATGGCTAACACTATGAAAGCTCCATATAGTGGATGCGATTGCATATCAACTTAGTTAAAGTTAAGCAGTTAATTCAGAAATCAAGAATCTCGCTTGATGTGCCCCATGCACCATACAATCCGAGATTATAGTATATACTTAACCCTGGTCGTAGACTTGCAGTAACAAAGGATACATCTTAATCTACTAGAGCCAGTAATTTCAGAGTAAATCAGAATTCATTCAAATCTAACAATTTATTATCAGTCGGGTAAATATGTATTATGCCAATTAGCCAATTCAGAGGTATCAATAAATCAATACAAAACATCAAATTCTCAAAGATAAATCTAAGAGTAAAGTATGCATACCTGACTTAAGAAAAATACATAGTATGGAGTGTATGGACACACTCCAAACTATGGGCTCATCTGGCTTACAGAAGCACCCTGATCTCCTTGCAACATTCACTTAAGTACTCAGACCAAGACAAACATCCCCCAAATGGAGACAGGAACAAACCATTGGAATTTGCATTGATCAAGTCCTAGACATGTAGAGTTTACACCTTTTGGGGACAGATGGTAATTTGCATGAAAGACACTGGGAAATGACACACCCTCTACAGTGAGCAAAACATCTCTAAACTCTCTAAAATCTGTGTTACCTTTTAGTCTACTTCTTGTAAGATTGAGACCATTGTACCAGTCGCACAGAGACAATTCAAATTATATCAAACATGACTGTGAATATCATTTGCGTTCATGTAGAACATTATATTTTGCTATTGACCATTCAGAGTGAGCGGAGTGAGGGGAGATGGGTGAGGGGAAGGAAGTGGATATAAAAGGATAGGCGAGAAGGGGCTTTTCTCGCATCTTCTCTCAGTGAGATGTCAAAACAGATGTCTGTATGTGAATATACAGTGTTTGTGTATTGTCCGGATCTCTGAAGATCAAAGTGTCTGAGGTTCTTCAAGTCTTACACGCATGCACACAAAAATCCATGCGCACAGCCTTTCACGCAGAAGTGTTGGAATGCAGTTGAGGTGGGCTATGAATAAATGTCGAAACCAGAGCTCGAAGTGGGCTGGTACACACCTGTACGCTGTTGCAGCACTTTTATACTTTTACCCTTAGCGTACCATGAATTTTGCTGCTGTTCTTAGCTGGCACTTCTGACATGTTGCCCTGTGCCCTCCCAATTTCCACCGAGGGGGATCCCCCCCAGCCCCCAAACATGATTTCCCTCACGGCAGTTTTGTATTTCCAATTTAAGCACTGGACGAATCTAAAGTATGTTTCTAAATAATATAATGATCTTATTTTGACTAAAATATTACTGCCTCCTGTAGATGGACATCAGAAATATTTTTGTACGAAGCAGTCACAGAGTAGCAGAAAGGAGAGCTGATGAATTTGAGAGAGGTAAGATTTGATGAATAAACTTCATTCTCAGCCATCAGAGTCAGGTCTCAGACATCAGATGAAAAGCATTAAATCCCAGGAAAACAGTGAAAATAAAACGGTGAAGTCATGGCCTAATGGTTAGAGAGTCGGACTCATAACCCAAAGGCTGCGGGTTCGAGTCTCGTACCGGCAGGGATTGTAGGGGGGGGGGGGGAATGTAAAGCGCTCTCTCCCACCTTCAATACCACGACTGAGTTGCTCCTGAGCAAGGCACTGAACCCCCAACTGCTCCCCGGGCGCCGCAGCATAAATGGCTGCCCACTGCTCCGGGTGTGTGTTCACTGCTGTGAGTGTGCACTTTGGATGGGTTAAATGCAGAGCACTAATTCCAAGTATGCAAAAGATTTCTTCTGACTAGAATTAGAATCTGAGCATATCACACAAGTCCTCAGATCTTTACATTGGCTTCAAGTTACATTTAGGATTGATTTTAAAGTAGTATTATTTGTTTATAAATCACTCAGTGGCTTACAATGCAGATGTGCTTACATTGCAGATGTGAATATAAACCTAACAGATCATTAGGATCATGTCAGTTAGAAATACCAAGGGTTCACTCAAAACAAAGGGAGTCTGCTTTTAGCTATTATGCCACACATAGTTGGAACCAGCTTCCAGAAGAGTTCAGATGTGCTCCAACAGTATATTCAAATCCAGACTCAAAACACATCTGTTCCCTTTCAGTCGGTCACTTCGACGTTGTGTCGATGTCCGACACTAGGGGTCGCACTTGGGAACCCAGACACCTCTGACATAGAGAAAAGGCCAATGACAATTGGTGAGCAAAATTTGTATAGCTGGCCATGCCCTGGATATCTCTGTATAAATAGGCCAGCGTGGAATTAGCTCATTCGTTCTGTTCTTCGGAGCCGATGCAGCATCTCTTCGTGCGAATTGCAGCATTCATTCACCTCTCGATGCCCCCATTTCCCAGGTTGGACTCTTCGGTGACACCATGGAAGAATTTTCCCAACAATTCTCCGTGGTTAAGAAGTGGATACCACTTATTACACAACATTTCACCATATCAATAATTAAGGCAATAAAATATATTGATTTAAGATGAAAATGTTTTAAAATCTTACCAGTTTGTTAGTTATATCTTATAATCCATTACAGTGTACAAAACAATCATTGCAAAATGGAAGCAGCTGCATTTGTATGAAATGAGAGAGCAAGTCTGCGATACCAGGATGACATAATTAAATAATTGTACACAAAATATTGAATTGAATTTTAATATTTTATTAGCTAACCAAATTCAAAGCTTCCACAAAAAAAAAAAAAAAACTGTTCCTGGCAAGAGTATAGCACCGACTTGTGAGTCTTGTGAGCCTGTGATAACCAGTGGTGGAAAGAGTACTGAAAAAATATACTCAAGTAAAAGTACCATTACCTTCCAAAAAATGTAGTGTGAGTAGAGTAAAAGTACTTGTCCAAAAAACTACTCGAGTAAGAGATAAAAAGTGTTGAACTTGAAAATTGTTTATGCGCGAGTGCACTTGCCAAATGAAGGCGGATTGTATAAAATTGATTTTTTTTTTAAACGTTTATTAACGAGCTGCAATTTTATTACATCACGCGCTGGCACAGATGCAGTATATTAAAGCCTCGGGTCATCAATAAGGTGCAGATTGGTCCTCAATTTGTGTTTCCAACACACTTTTTCACAGAGCGCATCACACGCTCAAACTCATCAAAAGTCAACAAGTTCAACAAGCAACAACGACTTATCCGAGTGACTGCTGCAGAACGCACGCGAGAGAGAGACGAGGCAGCGCAGATCGCACGTCTCATAAGTGAGCGGGGAATTTACCGAACGTGGCTCTTGCGTGAGTTAACACTGTATGCAATACCCGCAACCTCACACCAGATGTCAGGCCGTGTAGATAGGCAAGCATATATACAAATCATTTAGTAAGCAGAAATCCGAAATTTACCTTAACATATTAAGTTAGAGGAAGATGCGACTGAATTGATGCTTGAAGAATGCGCTTCCAGCAGCCATGATAAACAGTTGGTGCTTAAAGTTTCTATGCACAATTTGATTTGCCGAAAGTCACGAGACCTATTAATATCTGCCCATCCAATCACGTTGATGGATAAAAATAAAATTAAAATAAGCATGTAACGACCACAAACGGAGGAAAATAGCGGAGTAAAAGTACTGATACATCACTTAAAATGTACTCAAGTGAAAGTAAAAGTACACAATTTTTTAACTACTCAAAGTACAATTACTGATAAAAACTAATTAATTACTGTAACGTGAGTATTTGTAATTCGTTACTTCACACCCCTGGAGATAACACACCTCAGAATGTAGCGACTGACCAGTCAGAAGCAAGTATTCCACAGAGCCGTGTAATAACTATTAAAGGGGTCATATGATGCGATTTCAAGTTGTTCTTTCTCT